GAGTAATCTCAGCCAGCGGCTCTCCTTCTCCTCTCGCACCGTGCGCACGCAGGCAGGAATGACAATAACTTACAATGGTTATGAGGATGCTGTCTGTCTGTTTCTCTGAAACTTTGTGACAACACAGGAGGAGAACAGACAAAACAGGAATAGAACATGCATACAACACAGGAGGAGAACAAGGTGGCATCATAGATAAGCAGCAGACTTTGTAGTGATGCGATCGGGGACATCAATGTCATTTCATCGTGCAAACTCAAATGCCAGGTCCCAACATTCAAGTGCACTTAGATAGTGAAACATTGCAGCTATGTCTCCTAGTTGTTTCATATCAATGTATCGCTTTAAAGTCATCCTGTTGATCAATATGTCCCGTGCCACCTGATGTATGGACTTCCCATTTTTGTACTTCTCCCACTACTCTGTCCAAATCCACAAAAGGAGTTGAATCCTGTCTTTGTTCCACTTAGAGAAGCATGACATGATGCTTTCAGGTCTAAAATGCATAATGTCACATCATTTCGGTGATGCATAAGAATGTAATGTAAAATAACAATAGAATATCTGGTTCAACTTCCCCCAGAACCTTTGGCTCAAATTACCCCATCCCTGCCATTTTAACAAAATCGTGCCATCCAGCAGTATAGCCTCGTATTGTAACTTCGTAAAGCACTAACACATGCATAAGATTTTTTCAAACCTGTCTGTAATTGTTCAGACACAAGAATCACGACTCCTTGATCATAAAAAAATCACTTTGAACGGCAACATTTTTTTTTTTAATCTTAAATGTGCTTATCACTTATTCCATGGGCCTTTCTCCATCACAGGGTGAGTAAAATAGATGACTCTTCAAAAGTGTGTGGTCACATGTCCAATTTTGTCTATGGCTGCCGAGAAACAAGGGGTGGCTCAACTTCCCCACAGGCTCAAATCACCCTGCTCTCCCCTAACAAATTCATTATTCTTTTAATAAAAAAATTGTTTTTATTTCTTTAGAAATGTTACTCTGTTTATTATAAAAGCATTAATGCTTTTAGAAAATGATTGATCTGTTTAAGTAAATCAAAATTGCATTTTTTTACTTATCTCAAAAAAACTGCCCCACTGCAGGCCAAGTGGCTTGCCCCTAAAATTTCGAAATTGTAGGCCTGGTACTAGCTAATGAAATGCTCCTCCTTGGCCATGGAAGTATCTAGTACTGTAGGTAGTAAGCTAATTAGCCAGGTATGCTAACAGCATAGGCAGCATGCGTGAAAGGATAAAGGGTTGTATTACAGCAATATTATCACAAACCACAACCAGATTTTAGTGTTAACAACATCCTGGCCATTACATCTCTGCCACTCAGAAAAAAATAAGGGTCTGGCAGTGATGTGTGACTAATTTTTGCACTCATTTTACTACTGAACATACAGTTGTTGAAGTTCAAGTTTGAGCTGTTAGTAGCTTATTCAGTGTGTGGGCAATTTTACACTGGATAATGCACTAGATGGGAGCAGTCATGTTGACATTATGATTGTACACGGCTGCATGGGGACATTTCTGTCCAAGACTTCAATTTATTATTTGAAATTGTGACACAGATCTGCAGCGATGATTCATAACTGAAAGAAAAATAGCTTTCTGTTTTGACAGGAGAGATGCGATCAGGAAGGGTAGACAACGAAAACAAAATGTTTGGCCATGTTTGAGAAATGGCTGACAACAGAGGACCAGTCAAGTTGACAGCCAAAGTGTTCTCATCCTCCCTGACTTTTCGTCTCCGTGCTGATGCACAGTTTGACTTTTAGCACAAGTTTGAGTACTGCTGAGTGTCATGAAATTATAAGCTTGGGTCTATACAGTTCCATCTGTGTTTGGAGTAGTTTTTAAGTATCATGCATTTCTGTTTATGCCATTTATCATTTTAACTGAGCAATGAGCCATGAGAGTCTGTTTTACTGCAGCTTACGAACAGCTGAGGTGGAATTAGATATCACATAAAGTGAAAAAAACCTTTGAGCAGCAACTAAATAACACGCTAGAAAATACTTCAGCTCTTGTGTTGTTTGTCAAAATGAACAGTTGTAGCCATCAGAGGTGTGTATTTATAAGCAATTTTACATCTTTGAATTTGACTCATCCAATAAAAACAGATTAATAGAGGCATTTTGCAGAAATGAACTATTTCCAAAAACTAAACCTCAACCAAGTTAAAAGGCCTAAATCCTAATTGTCAGTTGCATCTTTACACCCTGAAAGGTTAAAACCTTCTGTCTCTGCAACATGGACTATAGCTCTTACTTTTATTTCTGACCGAAGACCTAATCCATAGGCCATTTCTTTGGAATGTGCCAATGAAATTTGAACTTTGCATGGCACTGCACCAATCAGGGATCGTTGTTGTTCAGGCATTGACAGAGAACGTACTTAGTGTAATGATCCATTGGCTGTGTGTGTCTAATGAAGAAATAGATTATATGTGGATGCTTGCCCACTTTATTGGCTTGTTAATGAGCATATTTGTTTGTATGTATGTGGGAGTCTGCATGGTAGTGTGTTTATATGTGTGTGTGTGTTGAATATATGGCAGAGGAGCATGCAGTATAGTCAGCCTGAAGAGGATGGGTTAATGAGCCAATCATAGTCCATCAGGGAAGCTATCAAGTGCTCAGACGAGTCCACTGGTCATTCACTCTGTCTGGTTCTTTTACTCTTTCTCCAAACTCAAGCCATACCTCACTTCTCTTTCTCTCTCTTTCTCTCTCCTTTCCTCCATCTTCCCCCCTCCCCACAGATTAGCGTTAACGAGGATATTAGCCATGGCAGTAAACACAGTCCCTTTTTCCGATCCATTTGGCAGGGAAGAGGTGAAGGGAGGACAGGTCTAACTTTTAGGTCTCTTTTCTAGCCCCCTTGGCTGCTAAGGCAAGCATAACCACAGAGTAATACAGTGTGTGTGTTTGGGTGTGGGTAAAGGGGTGGCAAGCTGGAAAACACAAGGCAGAAGAGACAGTGCCACTAGGAGGGGTCGGATCACACTGGCACCAGTTCACATTAGCAGTCATGTAATTTCAGACAGGAATTCTGACTGCAGGAAAGTAAAAACCTTTTATCAAAGCCACCACTCACCAGACCAAAATACTCAGGATGCTTGCCTGTGAGGCAACCCATTCCTTGGCCATTTGGCATTCTTTCAGTGCACCCTAACTACGGCTGCAATATTTTGTACTCTGAATCGTGAACTTCATCCCAATTTTTGTTTATTTATAAGGTTTGCTTTCTCCAGGGGAGGAATCGACCATTTTCATTTGTAGAGATCTATACATTTCCCCTGTGAGTGCCCTGTGAGAGGTTTAACGAGTACCTCTGGTTCACCTTTGTACTCCCCAAAAAACACGCACATGCTCTTACTCACACAAATGGGATGTGGTGAGTTAGTGCGGTGCAAACCCTCTGGGGAGGTTGCTTTGATAGAGGGGTTTATGTCCCTCCCAAAGGTCCTGAAGCAGTGCTCACAAAACAGCCACAAATCAATACTGCACACATCTGTCAGGATGTGATTAAATTCTCCCATTCCCTTGAGATCACCCACCCCATACACACAGATATATGAATGTACACATGTTTGCACACTAAGAAATGCACTTTTTGCACATGGAAGAGGGCAGATGAGAAAACAGAAACATGAGAGGGCCTGAGAAAAGGTTAGCATAATATGTTTACCCCAAGGTGCAACTTCTGTATGTGTGACCTCAAAAGCACAACTTCCCATCGAAACAGAAATGTGTAGGGTATTTTACCTTGTCATGACCCTGGTGTAAGGCTTCAAGTGACATTTTGACGTTGCCTTCAGGGTGCAATTTGACTACAATTTTAAGGCTATGATGGCACCAAGAGACAAAGATTGACCTAAATAGACGGATGTGTGCATTGCTCTTTCTGGACACAATGGGCTGCCAGCTGAGGAACCTAAGGACATGGAGTAAAGAAATTCATCAAAAAGCAATCATCAGTGCTTGGTGGTGACTGATCTAGCGTGGCATCCATTCATTATGTAAATCACACAACCTAGCTTTCTTTATCATCAAAGACCCTCATTCTGAAAAATTAGCCACTCTCCATCTGTGGAAAAACAACAGAACACTAAAACTGGACTGTTGCTATGGAAACTATGTGGGAGAAACCATTTTAGGGAGAGCGGGCGGCAGGGCGTGTGTGTGTGTGTGTGTGTGTGTGTGTGTGTGTGTGTATCAGGCAGGTGCATGAGGAAAGCAGTGTTAGCAATCAACAGGTGTACTGGCAACAGCAATATCTGGGCCCCAAATGGAATGGTAAATTAGATTTACGACGCCGTGACATCGGACAGTGGATTAGTTTGGAAATACGATGCCGTCTGTGTCAACCAAGATTGAGTATTAAAGTGAAGGTGCTCTACTTATTGTCACTGCTGCAGATGGACCTCATTATTAGGAGATTAGTCCACGGCTGCACAAAAAAATAATCCGATTCAATGATGTCTATCAACATTGCAGAGCTGCAAGGAAGGCATCAGCTTACGCTGCCATTTAAAGCAAATGTGGAATTCCTATTGAGGTGGGATAAAAAAGCTAAAATAATACAGCAGGGTATGTATATTGCAGTATATGAACAATACCCCCACCCCAAACCTCAGCATCACGCTTACTTTTAGCCAGCTAACATGGACATGATAAAAGATTCAAAGGAGAGAGAGAGACTACCTTCAAGGGCACATAAACCCTGAACGATCATCATTTACATTCATGAATCAATAATCCTTGTCGGATGGAAGGGGGAGATAAAGGGATGTCTCATCTTTGGGGTTATTTCTGTGTTGAGGGACCTAATTTTCATTACTTGGGATGAAACGCACCGAAGCACAGGAAACCTCCATTTACCCAAGCATCGGTCTTCTCCGATGGCGCCCTACCTTTTCATTTTGGAATTTATGAGGGCATTTTATTCTCCCCCCTTAGCAATAACTTAGCGAGGTTTGACAGCAAACAATGTTTTTAATGGCGGGATCCAGGATGTCTGTGTTCCGAATTTAAAATTTCATCTGTAGCACCGGCCCCTGGGTTCACAATCTGATAGGAAAGCGTTTAACACATCAACATCGTATGGGAGGATCAAAGTCTGGCCAAGCAGTTTGTCTTTCTTTGTACCTTTGGCTAAAGTATTAGGCTTGGTGTTAGAGCCAGCTTCATCCAGGATTTGTTCTCACACCATGAAAGATTATCAGCACAGGGACTGTCTCCGAAGTGTCCTGCTTCTGCTGACAAGAACACACACACTAACATGCACTGATGCACACAAATACCAGATGCCAAAAATACATTAGAATATCAAATTCTTCCTCTTCATCTGTTGCCAAAATGGGGGAAAACAAGTATGTCAACAAGAAATACATTTCTTTGAATGTTGGGGAAAAACAATAAGCTAATTGCTCCTATGGCTACTGCAGCTGCTGGGTCAACTGAAAATTATGTTGGCAGGGCAGATATGAGATAATACGCTTTTTAAATATAAAATAAATATATATTTCAACTGCATGTGCCCCTAATGATGAGTTGAAGCTAAACTTTACACGCCATAGAGTACACTTAGCAGTTAAAAACAGTTCACTTTCAGATAGTGTCAATGTTAGATCAAATAAACAACTATGGCATTGTATTTTGTTTCCAATTGTGATAATGAAGCTTTCTGAATTTGCTGCAGCTCTGATTCATGTCTTTGTGAAGTGTCATAGCAGAGGCTGCTGATGCGAATGGAAAGCAATACTAAATGGACAGAAAGAAAGTTGAACTACTTACAGCTGTTGGCCATAATAGAAAACTATGGCGTTTCAACATTATCCTGAACACTATGCAGCTATGTTGGGGAACATTAAAATGATAATTTAAAGAAATCTTTCAAATGCTAATCACATACAGTTGGGAAACATACTTCAGGGACAAGTGCTTCCACCCACTTTGCTACTCTATATTTACATGTATAGCACAACAGCGCAACCTCCAGGCATCTGTTTCAATCCACCACTGTGTTATAAATCACTCTGATGTAAAATTGTTTACAAGAATCTACATATTTCATTGTAATATTCTTCCTGATTCATGTGCCATAAAGTAACATCATGAGCCTAATCCACCAGCCACCTGGGAGCCTGGCTGGTTGTCACAGGATAAAGAGGAGGAGGAAGAGGCACCATTTGGGGGGAAAATGTGTGTGTGGAGTATTTCAGATGATTGGGTGAGGAAGACAATGAAGAGGATGTGTGTGCATGTGGTCGTGTGTATGCAGGGGGTACAGATGAGCGATAGATTGGGCGTCATGCTCTGTCACCTGCTCAGGCCCCAAAACAATGTCATCATAAGCCAGCGCCTGAGCACCTGTCACACGCGATAGATGGAAGGCAGCCGAGTGGAAATACCTGTGTGTATACCTGAGAAGTGAACATTGCAGACCTTTCAGCTCCTGGTATGTGTGGGAGTTAACAGCTCACTCCCAGCGTTTGCTGCTACAGCTCGAGCCTCTTCCCTTCTTAGCTCCCTCCATAGGGGGAGATTGGCACGCAGCGAGTTCATACCTGTGTGGTGAGGAAGTATTCAGATCCTTAACTTGTGCAAAAGTAGAAATACCCCTTCATAAGTAAAAGCTGTGTACTTGTTTTTTTCTCAAAATGTGCTAAAGAATTGTACTTAAAGCACTAGCATTAAAGCATTGCTTTGGGGCCTGTCAGAGTATTAAATAATGGATGCCTTAATGTGTAAACAGCAGCTTAATTTTGCAGCTGGTCCAGGTGGAGCTAAGCTAAAAGGCCCTGAAAACCCATTTCCTTAATCAGCTTTATACCATAAGTAATGGGGTCCTACACGAACACACGATTATCGGCTAAAGTTAAAACCATACTGGTAATTTCATGTGAAAGATTTCTTTTATTTTTGGCTATGCCTTTCTCACTGTTTTGAAGTGAGTGGGGCTTTGCTGGAAAAAAAGATGTAATGTAGGACCAATCAGAATTGAACAATGTAAGAATAAGAATCTAATGAGTGTTGTGGGTTGTGAGACCACGCCCACACACTTCTGATGAGAGTCAAACTTAAAGGTTCAGTGTGTAATATTTAGGAGGATCTATTGACAGAAACGCAATATAATATGTTAGCTATGTTTTCAGTGCTGTATAAAGACCTTACATATTGAACGGTTACGTTTTTATTACCTTAGAATTAGCCATTTCTATTTACTTACACTGCGGGACCCCTTTCATGGAAATCTCTATGTTGCACCGCCATGTTTCTGCAGTAGCCGAAATTGACAAACTGCTTTACAGAGCACATTTTGTCACTAGATTGAATACGTATGAAAAACGATAATAATAATAAGTTGTAGTAGTAGACCACATGTATTATTTAGCACAACAGCCAACAGAGCTTGTCGGCCACCATAGCTTCTCCTGCTCTCTTGCAAAGGGAGGGGTGAGCGCTGACTGATGGTGCATTCATGGAGACATGGGACATAAAGAAGTATACAGAACAGTATACAAATATATAAGAAGACACATATTTTGAAAACTTTGCTAGGGGTAGGCTATATTATATAAAGATATTATAAGAGGACCATATGTTACAGTTAACATATAACATAAACATACAGTTTAGCCTTTTTGTTGTTGGATTTAGAAATTAAATTGATATAATATATTGTAAATGTCTGCGTGTTGTTTATATGCTCTGTTGCGATAACAATGTAAGATGTTTAAATGGGAACAACCCACTTAGTCACAACGCTCTAGTTTTTGCTACCTTTTCTGATTTTGGATTAATCTATAAAATGTGTGTTTGTTAGAGAAGGAACTATAGCTGCCTGTAAAAACAGTGACGGTGAAGTGCAAAGGAACATAAAATGGAAATACTTAAGTATAGTACCACTAAACTGGACTTAACTAAACTTAAATGGACTGGTAAATGTGGAGCCAATGAGCCAATGAGAGTAGCTACGGATACTCATTCATCTGGCCAAGCCTGTCTGTTAGTGTTCTCACATGGTAGCTTTTTGTCATTTCATTTTGCTTTATTGACATGAATGTCAAAAAGAACAATATTGCCAAAAGCTTCAAGGATAATACAAACTCGATGTCTTACTCGATTTCTTTCACCGGATAGGATTCATCTGGAGACTGTTTTGTAGAATCTGGTTGTGGTCTATACTCAGAAAATGTTCTAGCCAGCTTAGCATCACTGTGATCTCATGAAGGATTTTATGGCTTTGGGTCTGAGTGTGAAGCTCCTGGTTGGATATCTTGTTGAGCCAGAAAACAAGGCAAGCGTTTCTTGGGGATCTGTTGTGGAAAGACTCCAGCCTTTTCATATCAGCCTCATTAACTCTCCAACTGTCAGATCCACACAGAAAAGAACACATTTCACATTTCTGACTGCAGGAAGGAACCTCAAAACAACTGTTAGGAGATGATGGATGATAACATTTTAGTACAATGAACCAAGAGTGAATCAGTCTGGACTGATGCTCATATGAATTGATTTTAAATTAATGTACAAGTCTATACTTTTAGGTTACAAGCCATTTTGCAATGCATTACATTTCATTGCATTTCTATTTTTTGTGCTTTTCAAAATGCAGAGTTGAAGCTGTCAAACATAGCTTGAAGTTAACTGCAGTCTCAGCTACAAAGATGTCCTAAATATAAAAATCTGGATGTGACAAGTTTATGTTAACATGTTTGTGATGGATTATTTCCTGGTGGAGACTTCATCTCTTCCTGTGAGCTTCAGGTGAGTGACAGTATAAGTAGCATGAGTTGATGTGTATGCTGATATAAACACATGGAAACACTGGGAAACCCAAATGAAGTCTCCTCTTTCATTTAACAAATTATTTCACTCTGTGAAACTTAATTTTCACACTGTGAAAGAATGTAGGGAAGCACATTGCTTCTTCTGAAGGAAAACCCTGTGATATTTAACTATACTCGACTTCGTGCAAACACAAGAACTTGTGTTTTTTTAAGTTTACTTGTGAAGCCCTAAATCACAGACACAGTTATCACAAAACACATGAACAATGAATGAAAGTATAAAATAATGACAAACTCAAATGGAAGGAGAAGAAAAATGTAGACAAATGGTACAAGTAAATAAGCATTTTTACTGTGACTTATATGAAGGCAGAGAAGAACTGAATTAAAGCAAAGAACGCATGTCCATCCTGCTCAGCTAGAAGCAGCACCATAGGTGTTAAAAAAGAAACCTCTACATTTTAGTCAAGACACCATACATGTTTTGCAACAATAATATTTGTTTGGCCGTATAGCTCCAGCACAAGTCTGCACACGCTTTCCTCTGAGCTCACAATCCCACCGTTGAATAGACAAACATGCTGAATTCACACAGATCTAAATCCTAATACAGGAGGAGGTTGGGGGCGGAAGCAAAAAGGATGCAGTGCTGAGCTGTGGAATATGTAAAAACGAATCAAATTTATTTATTTGAATTGCCTAGCTTTTTGACTAAGGTCATAGTTACATATGATTGGAAGGACCATGTGACTTTAATGCTGGGTGGCTCCATGGATGACTGCACTAAATGCATATCTGGTGCACTCCAGGCAAGAAATAGCAGCTTCAAGCCAATAATATTTTATTGTTATGTTTTAGTGTTATCTATAACCTGACCTTTAACTACATCAATATTGTTTTTATTACCATGCCTTGCACTTCTCAAAACATCTCAAAGACAGTTTAAAAATAAACCATTTGCCTTAAATAATTACTTCATGGCTTTCCTTACACCAGTGGTTCTCCTTAAAGTGACACATTCGAATCACTAATCTAATCACTAGTGGTTGGAGGGTTGGGCTGATGGGCGTTACATGGGGTTGTACCATTACATTATTGCTGTTTTTAAACTATTGCTTTTAAATGGCTCTGTACTGTGAAGCATTTTGTGTTACTTGTATTTGTATGAAAAGTGCTATATAAATAAAGATTAATTGATTGACTGATTAAGACTGACGTTCCCTTATCAGATTGATTTATTTAAATGTTTTTTAAATGCTTGGACATTTAATATAATTATTTTCTGTTTTGTTAATCATCTCGTGACCCCACAGATTTATCTTGTGAACCCTCAGAGCACAACCTTTTCTTTATGTGTGTCTCTTAAGAATTAAGCAATAGTTGTGAGCCCTTGTCACAGGTGGTATATGTTTCTGAGCTGTAAACATCTTAACCAAAGATTTCCCACCTTGCCATTGTACTTGAATACATCTCTTTCTTAGGATACTTTTGTAAAATTGTCCAACACAGTGAAATGATCAAGAATCTCCTCTGCCCTGTTTGCTCCCTCTGGTATTCAGGCTCTGTTACAACAGACCTTCATTTATCATCATCACTGTCAACCCGAGGGACCTCCACCCCCAAGCAAAACTGTTTCTTGCGCATCTTTCTCTAACCATTCTCCTCTGGTTACTCTGCGCACCATCTCCCTCAAACACTCCTACAATACTGCCATCTCTGCAGTCATCTGTGACAAAAACTCTCTGACACCCTACCAGCAGTCCATTTCTTACTTCACCTTTTGGTGTGACACCAACTTCCCAAGAGCTTAATTGCTCTGAGACAAGTGAACTTTTCATCAGGCTCCTCCACAATGTCTGACAGATCCCACTCATCAACTGTCGTCAGCCATCATTAACAGAGAGACAAAGGAGCCACTGGAGGCTCTAAAAAATCTTGTATCATGCTGGTGAATGACTTCGCCTTTTACCATTGTTCTGCCAAACATCCATACACAACATCCATATACACTGTCAGGAAAGAGACAAGCTGTGTCCACATCATTTCATGGAGAAAGCATGAACCTTCACACGTGACATGCTGTCCCTTTGTATATACTATATGTAAAATGAGGCAGGCAGTAGTCTACTCTCTTGGGACATCCTGATGGCCATACCATATACTGGTTTGAATGACTTCCACTCTCTCTCTCTCTCCCCCTTTACCTGCTGTCAACTCTCATCTGTCCAATCAAATAAGGGTAGAAGAAATGCCTCCCAAAATACTCTCCATAGGCCAACACTAGAGCAAGGGGGAGAGGGAAACATTCTAATAGTAACAACAGATTAAAATAGAATAAAAAAGACAAATAAATGAAGCAAAAAACAAAATGAACTCCATTTGGACAAGTTTGTTTTAAGATATGATTAAAAGGTGACACATGGAGTATTCACACACATCAGTATATCATTGTAAGCTATGAACCCTTGGTAAAATTAGCCAGTCAAATCAGCACTAGTGTTGTTCAAAATTAAACTACCTTTCAAATTGTGGTTTGATGGGGAGACCACACATGAGTTACAGCATTTAACAAGAAAAAAAAGGCAAAAAACATAGCTAAGATGGGAACAACCAAATGCAATCAAACCAAATATAAACCGGTACCACCTAGCAATGAGGTACACAAAATACCTTGCCATTGCTTACTCTTTCTGTGCCCCCTTAAGTAGGTAAAGTAAAGCATCATAATTAATGACTTAATGACATTTTATTAAATCTTCTTGTAAATGGTTACTGGTTGAAACCAAACAAATCCCAAAGGCAAGAGACTTCAAGAAAATGATATTGGGAAAGCCCGTCCAGAGTGTTGTCACATCTTTACACCCATCCAGCTATGCTGATATTGTCTATTTTTTCCTTTTATAGTTTTTTTCCCGCTGTATTGAAATAGATTTTCCATTATTAATTAAATACCATTACGACTCCTTTAACGACCTCTAAGACCCAAACAGGTGGGCTTGCCGAGCCCGGGGTTGAAGCTGGGTGGAGCTATGCAGGGACTTTTATGAACTCATCAATCTACACTAGATGTATCAATTGAGCTGCAGTCAGACCAAATTTTTGCGTGTCGAAATGTACTCTCACAATGTGTCAAAAAGCAGGAGGGGACAGGAAATAGTGTGGGGGGAGTTTAAACACAAATTGTCTGGGCTAGCGTAGCAGGCTAACAACAGCAGTCAAAGTTGTAAATTACAGCATTTTATCAAACACTTTATCTTCAGTAACCTCTGTCACTGTCCTTGAACTCACTGCAGCCAAGCAGTCCCACTCCTTCTCTGCTGCTTGTGTTATTTCACCAATCAAGTCAAGTCAAATTTATTTATAGAACAATGTTTCCTAAGAGGCCAATTACTCCCCCTCTCTTAAACAGACTGGTCTTTGGAGAGCTTTACAATTTCTAGTGTCAAAGTTCAGTCAGATTGAACTGTGGACTGGAAGCATTTCACATGAATGGGAAACAATGTTCATCTGACTTTTTCACGAAAATTATAAAGTTAGCCCACACTAACAGGTGCAACAAAGCTAACAGAGTGTCAGATAAAGGTGCATCAAGTCTTGACACGCCTGCACAGTCAGGAAAAGAAGGTCTAATAAGGCACAATAAGTGAAAACACCTGTGTTCTGTACTGTGGTAAAGGACGACATTATCATCGTCTGTTTTCAGAGATGTCAGAATTGCTCGGAAGGGTCCTGTTTGTGGATTTAAAGTTGCTCTCTGGCTTGTACTTGGCTTATCTTTTTGTGAGATATGGTCAGACAAAGTCAAATATTCTCACTTCACAAAAGGTAAAATGACAGGAATCTAAAAAAATAAATAAAAAGGATTTAAGAGCATGAGCGTAGAAGCGCTAATGATTTAAGTTGAGTCAAAAACTCTGGAAAGACAGGTATATGAAAGAAGCTGATTATTATTGAATATACATATTCTGGGAAATAACTTTTCGTTACATCTTTCATAAGCACAAGCCTTTCACCTTTGCCTAAATGTAATATCCTTCCTGTGGGAAGCTAATAACAGGCACCTAACCTATAGAGTGACCTTCAAGATGATCTATGATTCATACAACACTAGCGTGTTATCACACCTCACATACAGGTCCTGTAATTGCTCTTAGAAGTATGATTTTGTATTCATGAAACACACATACATGCACTTACAGTATTACTGTACATGTGAGGATGCTTCCAGCGTCTTATTTTAAACCAGTCTATCCAAGGAACAGTAACTTAAATAAGTAAGTAACGGTCTTAATGCTTTTTGTCCCTACATTGGAGTTGAGTCCCCTTAACAGGATTGTGGGAAATAAAATGTCTGACTAGCTGAATGTCATTCTTTCACTCATACGTAAACTTATGCATCTGGTACGCACGGCCACAGATGACTGTAAAGCTGCAGCAACAACACCATGGCCAGGGCTCCCACAGCTGCTGTGCCATTTTTCATAACCTTTGGCTATAATAACTTCACACAAGGTCCAAACAAAAGAATCTCTAATTGGGCATCTGCAGAACAAAATAAAGGATGCTGGATGACCACA